GGGGGAACCTAGCGCAGGCTGGCTTCAGAGCCTGAGAGACAAAGGGCGCAGACGAGTCCCAGGTGGTCTTTTCTCCCGCTGGCCAGAAGTTGGACCAAAGGGCAGCTGGCCTCTGTGTCACAGTTGCGGGTGTCCAGGTGCCTGCAGCCTGGGCCTTCTCAAGGGTGCCTGTGGGCCGGGTGACAGAAGTGGACCACAGTCATGAGAGCACAGGCTGAGGAGGGTTGCTGGGGGACGACAGGCCTGGGGAGACGCCCTTGGCCACCCCCTGGGAGGCCTGGGTGACAGCGAGGAGCCCTGGGGCTATTGGCTTCTCCCTCCACACCCAGGAAGGAGCTGGAGGCCGGGGTGTGCTCAGCCTCTCGGCACCTTCCCCTCATCTGTAGGATGGGGACACCGCCACGCTCTGCCTCACTCGAAGGGGCTGTGAGGCCTTGTGAGTTCAGATGTGTGGAGCTTTCAGGATGGGCCCCGCATTCAGGTAGCGCTCAGTGAACGTCAGGGGAATGCAGATTCCGTGGCCTCCTCCTGCAGCCTGGGAGGGTGCCGGCCTCCTTTGTGGTGGGAGAGGCGCCATCGAGCCATGCGGTGTCCCCAGGAGTGGGGGGAGGGACCTAAAGGGGACGGTGGTGTCTTCCCTGGCTTGGATCCTGGGGCTGTGATCTTTGTGGCCCCCCTCACCAGGATGACGCTGCTTCTCCAACCTGGTGGTCCGTGTGGGCAGAGGGGGAGGCCCTGGCTCCTGGCTGCTGGGCCGGGGGGCACTGCCTGTGCTCCGGCCCAGGTTCCGGCTCCTGTGTGGCTGACCCTCCTCACCCAGGCTGCCGGCCAGAGTAACCGGGCCAGACTGTCCCTAATCACTGTGGGCTGGTGGGCTTTCTCTGCCACCACAGGATGCCTTGGGGACAGCCAGGACCTCACCTGGCCTCACCACCCCACTTTCCTCCATGTGTCCTACCAGGAGCAGGCAGGCCCCCAGGCAGGGGCCGGGGTCTCTGGGGCTCTGGCTGCTGTTCTTGCCATTTTGAGGGGAGGGGCGTTTGGGAGGCTCTCAGTACCCAGCCCTGGGCTGGGAGCTCTGAGCAGGTGTGTACCCCGGCCCTCTGCTCTGTGGGCTGGGGTCCTGTGGCAGACAGGAAGGGAAGGAGCAGCCTCGTGGGCTAAGGCCCAGGCCCCATCCGAGGCAAAGGCCCTCCCCGTCGGGGCCTGTGGCCTCAGCTCCTGAGGTGGGAGCAGGCTGGGCTTAGTGGGCCGAAGGCCAGGGCAGGGATGAAAAGGCCCTTCATGGCCCACACAAAGAGTGTCTGTGAGTGGCGGCGCCTAGCCTCAGGGCCCTGTGGTCAGAACAAACTTATTTACTGAAAGGCAGGGCGGCTGGGGCCAGTGTGGCTGGGAGAGAGCCCGTGGTGCCCAGGCCTGTGGCAGTGCCACCAGACCCCTGCTTCCCTGGGTCAGAGTGCCTAGTCATACCACAGAACTAATTCCGATCAATGGAGTCTGGGCCTTATTACCGCCCAGGCAGATGGAACTTTCTCAGGGTCCTCCGTGGCCCCACCCCTTTGCCACCCTCACTTCTGTCCCCCTGGCCTGTTCACTGCTCGCCCAGCATGCCATGAGTTCCGTCCTCCACACCTTCGCTCCCGCCCCATCTCTGCCCTCCCAGACAGGACTCCTGCTAGGAAACTGACTGCTCTGCTCTGGACTTCCCAAAAGGATAGATTTGGGGGAGGATGGGAATTACCTTTCAGCTGTGCTTTCCCTTCTTACTGGAGTAAATTCTAGAAACAGATGAGGATAAGAAATGCCTCGGCCCCTCCCCGGCAGTGGCACCCTTTTTCCTGGTGGCTCGGTGGCTGAGTACAGGCTGTCATCATGAACACGTGTGTCTGCCACTTGGGCACCAGCCTAGGTTGGCAGGAAGCTGGTGGCCCCTGGGGCCCTGGCTGCTTGGGTGCACATAGGTCCTGGGCCAGCTGTGAGGGATTCCTGTGACAGGACGGCCAGCGGCTGCAGACACATAGCAACTGGGCCTGTGTCCAGAGTGCCCCAGGCCAGGGGCAGCAGCTGAAGATGCTGATGTTCGCAGTTACCTCCTTGTGGAAGATGCTTGACCGCATAGCCTGAACCCCCACCTCACAGGCCAGGAAGGTGGAGTTGGGACATGAAGTCCAGCTGCTGGGGCCCCAGGGTGAGAGCCTGAGGGAGCAAGGACAGGCCCCAGCCCTCCCGATTAGAAAGCTTCACGGCCTGGCTGGCAGGAGGGGGCTGTGTACAGTGGGAGGAGGCTGGGGCAGGTGTGTCTGGTGCTGGGGGCAGCAGACAGAGGCTGGGACACGGGAGACAGACGGGGACAGGGCTGGAGTGGAGCTCCCCACTGCCCTGCTCAGAGGGCACCCTCAAGGGTGGCGGCTCACCACTGCTGGGCTGGCCCTGGGACTGAGCCCTGCCACTCCTCGTCCTGAGCTCAGGGGTGATTCCCACAGATGCCACCAGCGTCAGCTGAGCCTGGTACCCAGCAGCCCTGTAGCGGCCTCTAGATGCAGGGAGGTGCCTGCCTGTCGGTCTGCCTCGGGTATGTCATTTGTCCATTTCTCTGGGGAGACAGGTAGTCGGTAAGCCTAGATCCTGGCGCCTGCCAGGCGGTGGGCACACTCAGGCCTTTTTCCTGCCCAGCCCCCAGAAGCCTGAGGCAAGCACACCTGGGAGGCCTGGGGCCTTCCATGGAGGCTGCGAGGCTGCAGACGCCTGCCTCTCAGGCTGAGACATGGGAGGCCTGGCTGGGTCACCACCCCTTCCTCTCAGGGTGGGCTTCAAGGTTGGCGGGAGGCTGACAGACACCAGTGCCACAGTCCTTGGGCCCCTCGGGAGGGAAGCCTCCCCCAGGTGAGGGCCAATGGGCCTTCCATCCCCGGGTCCTCCTGCCAGAGGTCTTTTCTGGAAAGGGGTTCTGCCTTGGGCCAGACCTGGGGAATGTGGTAGGTCAGCTGAAAGGTCAGCAAGCCGAGTCTCAGAGCCGAGGCTGGCAACCGAGAGGCCCAGGAAGCCAGGTCCTGCTAACATTTTATTGTGGAAAGATTTTAGGTTTACAGAAAAGTTGCACACATAATCCAATCAACTCCAGGGGGCCATCTAGCTAGTCTTGCCAACTGCCAGCATTTTGCCACATTGCTGAATCCTCTTTCTATCTGAACGCTGAGTTATTTGAGAGTAAGTTGCAGGAGTCATGCTCCTTTGCCCCTAAATTCATCCGAAGAACAAGGACATTCTCTTACACATCAGAGTCAGCTATGAAAGCCAGGAAATGAGTACTGAAGGCGTCCTAAGCCACACCCTGTTCAAACTTCACCAACAGACCCCAGCGTCTCCAATCACAGGCCCGTTCCTCCCCGTCCAGGAACACACCTTGCACTGAGCTGTCTCCCTAGTCTCTGATCTGGAACCTTCAGCCTTTCTTTGATTTTCCTGACTGTGACATTTGGGAAGGCCCAGTTATTCTGACTGATGCTGAGTCTGGGTGGGCTGATGTTTCTGCGAGTTTGCCCTAGATGGACACAGTTGGCCGGAAAACCCTGGAAGGACCTGTGTCTTCTTGAGCATCCTCCTCTCTGGGTGCTGGCGAGCCTAGGAGGAGGGCATGTGTCTGGCTTGACTCTGTGCCCATGCCCCAGCGCTCAGCGATGGAACCCGCAGGGACAAAAGGTACCCTAGGGTTGCAGGCTGGCCTGTGTGACCTGTCGGCACAACGGCAGCCTCCTGCCCAGTTTCTGGGCAGCACAACCGCTCCTGCAACTGTCCAAGTCTTCACCTGCAGTGCTCACCACCGCGGCATCTGACTTCCCCAAACCTTGGTTTTCTTGTCTCTGAAATGGAGATAGATGCAGTTCCCACACCAGAGTAGCTGGAGTCAAAGAGAGATGTCGGGACACCCCCAGCTCATCCTAGGGATCTGCTTGAGGGTCGGGTGTCTGGATCACAGTCTCTATCCTAGTTGAGATGAGGGCACGAGGCCTGCCACTGTGGCTCATACCTGTAATCCCAGCACTTTGGGAGGCCAACGAGGGCAGATCACCCGAGGTCAGGAGTTCAAAACCAGCCTGGCCAACATGGCAAAACCCCATCTCTAGTAAAAATACAAAATTAGCCAGGCACGGTGGCAAGCGCCTGTAATCCCAGCTACTTGAGAGGCTGAAGCAAGAGAATTATTTGAGTCCCACAGGTGGAGGTCACAGTGAGCTGAGATTGCGCCACTGCACTCCAACCTGGGCCACAGAGCAAGACCCCATCTCAAAAAAAAAAAAAAAAAAAAAAAGCAACAACAAAAAAACCACAAAATGCTGAGAGATTAGGGCATGGGCAGGCCCTGCCCTGCTAACACTGTGATGTCCGCTGGTCTGGCTGGGCTGGAGAGGCCAAGAGCCAGCCAACCAGCCCCATCTTGAGCTTTCCAGTGTTTCTGGGGCCTCCTGTCTGGTTGTCCGGGAAGAATGGCCCAGGGCTGGGGTGGTGGGAGGGGGAGGACAACTGGGGTGGGCTGGCTGGTGAGGGCACAGGGCCCTGTTACCATGCAGGTGTCTCAGCCTGTGCTTTCTGTGGGACCTGAGAATGTCTCCTTCCTGCTCTCTGGTCCCTGGGTACCCTAAATTTTGCTAACTCCCAACCCTATGGGCAGAGAAGGGCTTTGGGGGGGCACCTCCCTTACACTGACCAGGCACTCCTGCCCACCCACCAGCCCTGCTCTTCAGGAGGCACCAACACACTGGCTTCAGCTTCTTAGGCTACAGAGGCCCCGGCTGGGCCTGTGCCCTGTGGGCCCCACACCTGGTGCAGGGTGGGGCCAAGGCAGGGAAGCGGAGTGCCTGTGCCCCTAGGGTTCCCCATGGGCCTCTCCTCCCACTCCCTGCAGCAGTGGAGCCCCCATGGATAGCAGCCTCTTCCCAGGATGAAGGCTGCTGTGTCGTCTGCCCTGTGGGGAGGGAACCCTCACAAGTGTCACTTCACCCAGGCCCACACAGCCCTGCAGTTCAGCTGAATAGGCCAAGCCCCTGCCCAGGATTTCAGGGCTTGGGCCCATGTTCCCTGCCTCTGCTGCCAGCCTAGCGTTCTCATGGCCTTCTGAGGCCCTTATTCCCTCTTCTGGGGCAGCCTGGCCCCAGAAGCCACTGTGGGGTGACAGGCATGCGGTCTCCTGGTTTTGGGAGGCGATTTCGAAGCTGCCTTGCCTGGGAAATGAGAGGGCCAGTGCAGCGCTGGGCCCAGACCTCTCACACAGCGCCACATGCAACTTGCTTAACCTAGAGGTGGGGGTCACGTCCTGTCGGCCCTGTCACCTGGGGCCCGAACGCCTCTCCTTGGCCTTGCAGATGAGGGTCCGCAGGAGCCTGTGCCCACGCTGTGGAACGAGCCCGCCGAGCTGCCGTCGGGAGAAGGCCCTGTGGAGAGCACCAGCCCCGGCCGGGAGCCCGTGGACACCGGTCCCCCAGCCCCCACCGCCGCGCCAGGACCCGAGGACAGCACCGCGCAGGAGCGGCTGGACCAGAGCGGCGGTACAGGCGGGGCAGGGGCGGGTAAGAAGGAGGGGCGGGAGCGCGGGGAGGAGGGCCGGCCGGGGCGGGGGCCGGCGAGTGACACGGTCCTCCGTCCTCCGCAGGGTCGCTGGGGCCCGGCGCCATCGCGGCCATCGTGATCGCCGCCCTGCTGGCCACCTGCGTGGTGCTGGCGCTCGTGGTCGTCGCGCTGAGAAAGTTTTCCGCCTCCTGAAGCCAATAAAGGGGCCGCGCCCGGCCGCGGCGCGAATCGGCTGCACTCCCGGCGCGCCCGTGTGTCCGCGCGTGCAGGTGTGCCAGAGCGTGAGGGCGCAGGCGAGCGCGCAGGTCGGGGTGCGCGCGCGCGGGGTAGTGAGGGCAGGCGTCGTGCACGCGCGTGGGGCGGCGAGGGTGGTCGTCGTGAGCGCGCGCGGGGCCAGCGGTGCGCCCTCACTCCCCGCAGGGGCTCGCGTGAGCGTGAGCGCACGGCCAGTTGGAGCACGGGTGCGTGCGGCGTGCACGTGAGCGCGCGCAGGACCGCACCGCTCGGCATCCGCGTGCACCACGGCTGGAGTGCCGCGTGAGCGCGCGGTGCGCGTGCACCGGGGCCGCCAGGGTGACCGAGCTGGTGTGCGGCCGGCGCTCTAAGCCCGGTCGGGTGCACGGTCACGGCCGGGGCCACGGGCGGCCAGTTCTCTCAGCGCCGCCTCCCCTGCTTGGGCCCGGGCCGTGGCGCTCGCTGCGCTCACCGCGCTCCCCAAGGCCTGGCCTCCATTCCGCTCCGCTGAGGTCCAGAACGTTCCGTGAGGAGGGAAGCGCGAGAGTTGGAAAGGCCGACGGAGACCCCGAGGCCTGCGGCTCCCTGAGGCCGGGCTGGGGGAGGGCGGCGGCGTCGGCGCTTCCAGCCAGAGGCGCGTTATTTTGGGGGACGTCTTGTGACTCTGGGCCCCACAGCAAGGGCCCCACCCGCGGGCTCAGACCCGCAGCCCCAGGCCCTCCGGGAACCCCGCTGCCCAGGGAGCCCCGGGAGCGGGATGAGTCGACGGCAGACTCCAGGCGCTGCCCGCCCTGCTTCCCACGCTCACCCCCGGGCCTGGCTGGGCCGAGCCGGCAGCCGCCACGCCGAGGGTTCGTCTGTTCAGGGAGAGAAAACGGCTTTCCCAGGTCCACTCACCCCACTTCACCCGCAGAGCGTGGGGGAGGAGTGAATGAGGAACCGCCTGGCCCACGGTCCCCACCTCGAAAGCATTTAGAGATGTGAACTTTGATCCTGTGATCATTTAACCTTCAGCTTAGCAGGGAAGTGGGAACTTGGTCCCCACCCCAGTCCCCCGGGCCCCGGGACAGTTTGGAAGCCAGCAGACCCCTTGAGGGCAGCTTAATGCATCTGGAGATTCCAGAGTGGGATGCTGCTGGAGGGCAAGCTGCTCCTCTCTTTTAAAAAACTATTTTCTCCAGCAGCTATTTTGGCCTCTTTGGCGTGACTGAGCTCCCCATGGCACCATTTTCTGCCATGACTTTTCCCTCTGGACACTCGAGGAGCCCAGGCGGTGTCCAGGCATCTCTCACACACTGGGGCATGGGGCCAAGACCTCAGCCGAGTCTTTGTTAACAGTTTCCGACTCCACTGGTCTCCCCAAAACACACCTCTAAACGATTCTGCTTATAAAGGAGTGCTATGAAATGGGCCTATTTTCCTAATCGGTTAACTTGTTTCATCTCACATAACTTCGAGTAACCAAAGCCATCATTACAGCAGATGATCCAACTCAACTGCATCACAAAGCACAGGGACCAATGGCCACCCACTCCTTCCCGACCCTCCCCTCCAGGGATCAGAGATGGCCCCCTCTTTCCCCACTCTGCAATCACTTCCCCACCAAGGGGTGCATCACGAGCCTGTCACGGGGACCAGGGGGCACTCCCTCGCTGGTGGAACCAGTGTCACACCTGTGCATCCCTGATTCTCAGAGGCTCTGAGGTCTCAGGACTGCCAAGCACCCTGCTGTGGCCTGTGGGAAGACACTACAGAGTCCACTGGATCTAAATCAAAGGCCTGTTCCGGCGAGCAGGGAAACGGTCCTGGCAGAGAGCGTGGTCCTGGACACACAGGACCCCTCAACACGCTGGGACGGAGCTGGGGCAAGGGGAGGGGCTGCAGCTCTGGGTAACGGAAGGTGTGAAGGGCCTAAGGCCTGTGTCTGGGTCGTGCAGAAGTCCCAGCCCCACGCCTGTGCTTAGATCCCCTGTAGGGCCCCCACCAGGGACACCTCACGGCCTCCGTGGCCTTCCCAAGCTATGTCCTCACTGCCACTGCAGCAGAGGGGCATCCGCAGCTCCCCCAAACAGTCCCTTCTGTTTCTGGAGTCTACAAGTGTAGCCCAAATCCACTCCCATGCTGAGGTGAAGCCCAACTGCTCCCCGCTGCTCTGGAAACCTCCTCAAGCCCCTCCTTTCGGAGAAGCCTCCACTGGCCTTGAAGGGGTGCTCCTCTCTCCCTGCCTGGAACCAAACACCGCCTTCCTTTGTGTACCAGGGCAATAAAGAGTAGACCTTCATCTCCTTTATTTTATATATGATGCTTCTTTTAATGCAGCCAAAAGTGATATTTGCTTTTCTCAGAACCATAATCGATACAAGATGCAGTGGCCAATTCATTCCTTAAAACACCTGGGCTCCTTAAGGGACCAGAAGACACAAGTTACATCCAGCCATCAGGGAGTCAGAGGCGGGAGGGGTCCCCAGCCAAGCTCTGGCAGGCCTGTGTGGAGCAGGGCCTGACCGTGCAGCCAGAGGCTGGCAGAGGCCCGGGGAGGGGTGGACAGAGGCGGCTGGGCTCTCAGTCCTGTGAACCAGAGACCAAGGGCTGCTCATCAAGCTCCGTCAGGCAAGGGCGGCCCCACCTGTGCCCGGTGGATTCTAACTGCTTCCAAGGTAGAGGAGGACGCGTGCAGGAGATCATGTCAATTGTCACCTTCTGCCTGCCTCCCACAGGGACACTCTGGGTTGGCAGCCTCTTCCAGACCCTGGGGCCAGGGGCTGGGGAGGCCCTGGAGTGTGCCCACTCCCTTCTACCCCCTCAGAGGCACGAGGGGGGTGGCGTAATACTGCTGAAACCTTCTTGATTACAAATGCATCAGGAGAGGCGTGGGCACCCTTTATCCGGTTTTCGAGCAAGGGTCCAAGACACGTGAGCACTCACTGTGTCGGCAGGGATGAAGCCCGGGCACCCGAAGCCAGATCGTGCCACCTGGGGAGGCGCTGGCCTGTGCTTCCCAGAGCCCCCCACCTTCTGTCGGGGTCGCCTGCAGGCCCTGCCCCCTGAGCGGGGGTCATTGCCGATTCCGGCTGCCCAGCTTCCTGCGGTCCTTGTTCTGACTGCGCTGAGGGTCATCCATCTTGTGGACACGGAAGCATTCCTTGAGATTCTGGGACCGGATCTTGGGATTCAAGATCTCTTCTGTCATGGAGCTGGGGAACCAGCCTCTCTCCTGGTCGTGTAGACGCTCGCCAAAGATCCACCCTGTGCAGGGAGGGGAGGGAGGGAGGGTCAGGCGCTCCTGCAGGGCAGGGGCTGCACAGAGGCTCCTTTCCAGCCCAGCCCCCATCTGTGTGTGGGACACTAGGGGGTCCAGCTGGCCTTTCCTGAAAGGCAGGGGCTCTGCACACCTCTGCCGAGACTGGATTCACCTCCATAAGCTGGGAGGTACGTGGGCACCTGCGCAGAACGAGGCCTGCTCCGTCCCACGCAGTTCCACGTTGACTTGGAACCCACTCTGGGACCCTCAGCAATTCTATGCTACCCTACCGAGCCCAGGAGACCCCAAGGGCCGCTCCAAAAAGCTGGAGGTGCTCAAGGGGCCGGTGGGGGTGGCAGCTGAGCACGCGGGTGGCCGCCTGGACGTGTCATCCACCTCTTGTTGGGCAGATCCTCCCAGGTGTGGCCTCCCGACGGCCGGCATGGTCAGCGGAGAGGGCCCATCGCAAACTGGCAGTGCCAGGAGTCGCAGCGTCACCTGGCTTCTCCCTGCCGTTTCTCCACCCCTCCCCTTCTCTGGAGACCTCCAGGTCTTTGCTCAGAGCCTGCAGCTGACCTGTAGTGTGTCCCAACCTGGGGGCTAAACGGCCTGGGGCGTGCCCTCTGCAGGTCTCATTTGGGAGGGGAGTAGGCCAGTTATATTCTGTGGGAAGAGGGCATGAGAGCCCCTGGGCCTTTGGGGGCTCAAAAGAGGGACTGCCTGGAGGAGGCCTCCCCCGGAGGTCACAGCCTGAGGCCTTCTACCGGGACCTGGCAGGAGAGGAGCTGGGAAGGAAAATGCTGCGGCTCACTCTGGGGATTTGGATCAGGAGCAATTACTGTAGAAACAGGGATGTGATTTGAAAAAGGAAAGGGGGCCTGTGTTCAATTCTGTGGGGCTGGGAGGAACTCCACTGGGTTCTGATGACACCAGCAGGGGCAGCCAGGAGCTGGGGGCGGCTTCCTGGCCCACATGGGGTACCGAGCCTGGGGGTCACAGGCTTACCTGGAAGCTTGCTGCAAATACAGAGCTGGGGCGGGGTCATGTCAGGGTTAGGATGTTCCTGGTTGTCCTCCCTCCCCCTGTGTTGGGGGTTCTGAGGCCAGGGCCAGGGGAAGGGGACACGGAGCCACCACTTGGGCTAAGCCCACTGTGAAGGAGGAACAGTGGGGCCTCCCAGCTCTAGGGAAGGACAGGGGAGGTACTAAAAATGATTCCTCCTCTCGGCCGAGGAAAGGCCAATGAAGCCAGGACGGGAGGTGTCCAAGCGGAACATCGCAGGGAGCGAGAGACAAGGCGGGGTGCCACCCCACCTGCCCATCAGCCAGCAGTGGCATCCCCTTCTCCACCTCCCCCTCATCCCTTGCCCGGCAGGGCTCCATGCGGCACCCCTGGGGGCTCCAAGGGGAGGTCCCGGCCTCACCATCATCAGTCTTGTCCAGGATGTTGAGGATGTCCGCGAGCTCCAGCGTCAGCTCGTCTGGCTGCTGAGCCACGTACGGGTGCACGCATTGGACCTGGGGGCAGTCTGAGGGACAAGAGGCACAGGCACGTCCCCACCACTGCGCCACCCACCTGCCTGCTCCACTAAGCCCGTGGCTGATCCCTGCCTAGAATGGGAAAACTCCCACAGCAACTGAATAAGGCTCGTCTGAGGAAGAGGAGGGTTTGTTTCCAGAGAAAACATTATTAACATAGCCAGGAGTTCTGGGAAGAAACACATGAAAACAGGCTGTGAGGTGGCCTTTGTTTAAACTTCAGA